GGGGGAAAGGTAAGGGGAAGTGAGGGAATGGGGAAAAACGCGGGAAAAGGGAGGAGAAGCTGGGAAAAATGGCAGGAAAATGGGAAAAGGGAGGAGGAAGGAGGGGAAGGGGCTGGGAAGGGGGGACAGTGTCAAATGAGGGGAAGGGGCTGGGAGCCAGAGGGACCCCGGAGGGCACGGGGGCGCTGGGAAAAGGGGCTGGGGGCTGCAGGGGGACATGAGGAGCGCTCTGCTGTGCCCCCCACACCGACACCGTCCCCGTGCCCCCAGCCCTGCCGTGCCAGCTGCACCCCAGCCCCTTGAAGCGCTCGCTGGCCCTGGCGCCCGGTGGCGCCCAGCCCAGCCCAGGCGGCGACTGGGCAGGGCCGGGGGGTCCTGAGGAGCCCCTCACAGCCCCCCGGGGACCCACAGCGGCCTTCGGGGAGCACGCGCCGCTGTCCCCGCAGAGCAGCGTGGCCTCGTCGGGCAGCGAGCACACCGAGGAGCCCGGCGGGCGCAACTCTTTCCAGGAGGACGGCAGCGGCATGAAGGGTGGGTGGGGGGCTCCGGGGGGTTTGGGGGGTTTGGGGGGCAGCTGTCACCTCACACAGCCCCTTCCCACCCCCCAGATGTCCCCTCGTGGCTGAAGAGCCTGCGGCTGCACAAGTACGCGGCGCTGTTCGCGCAGATGAGCTACGAGGAGATGATGACGCTGACTGAGCACCACCTGGAGTCCCAGGTGGGACTGGGAGGGGGCTGGGGGCGTCCCTAGAGGGGCTCACGATGTCCCCAGTGTCACCGGGGATGGTGGGGAGCGGTTGGCAGCACCCCCGATCTTCCCAGAGGGTGTCCCCAGTGTTCCCCGGAGGTGTGTGACACCCCCCAAAAGGTGACACCCTCCAAAAGGTGCGTAGCACCTGCCACAGGTGCAGGATACCCCCCAAAAGGTGTGTGTGACACCCCCAAAAGGCGTACGGCACCTGCCACAGGTGTGTGACACCCCTGTCCCCCCAGAACGTCACCAAGGGTGCCCGGCACAAGATCGCCCTGAGCATCCAAAAGCTGCGGGAGCGGCAGAGTGTCCTCAGGGCGCTGGAGAAGGTCACTGGGAGCACTGGGAGGGACTGGGAGGGCACTGGGGGCACTGGGAGAACAGTGGGAGGGACTGGGAGAGCACTGGGGGTCCCCAGGGCTCCTGGAGGGGGTCCCTGATGTCCCCAGACCCCCGTGGTGGCTCCAGGGTGAGTTCCCAGGTGTCCCCTGGGTTCGTTCAGGGGGTCCCGTGTCCCCAGGGCTGGGGCAGGGGGGGTGGATCCTGGTGTCCCCAGGGCTGGTCCAGGGGGTCCCCGGTGTTCCCAGTTATGGTTCAGGGGTCCCTGATGTCCCCAGGGATGTGTGGTGGATGGTTCTCAGTGTCCCCAGTGTCCCCAGTTGTGGTCCGGGGGGTCCCCAGTGTCCCCAGGGCTGGTTCCCAGTGTCCCCAGTGTCCCCAGTTGTGGTCCGGGGGGTCCCCAGGGCTGGTTCCCAGTGTTCCCAGTGTCCCCAGTTACGGTCCAGGGGGTCCCTGATGTCCCCAGGGCTGGGGGGGGACGGTTCCCGATGTCTCGGTGTCCCCAGCCCTGCCGGGGGGGTGGCCGTGTCCCTGACGACCCCCCCCATGTCCCCCCCAAACCAGGACATCCTTGAGGGGGGCAACCTGTGGACGGCGCTGCAGGAGCTGCAGCAGATCCTGGCCACCCCCATCAAGGCCTTCCGGCCCCCCCCGCCCCCCGGGCCCCCCGACGGGGCCCCCCCCGAGGCCTTCGCGGCCCCCCCGGCCCCCGAGGCCGAGCCCCCCGCGGCCCCGGTGCCTGACGGGGACATCCCGGGGCAGTTCACGCGCGTCATGGGCAAGGGTGAGCCCCCAGCCCCAAAAACGGGGGCAGGCTTGGGGAGGGGGGGTTCTGGGGGGGGTCCTGGGGGGGTTTGGGGAGGGATTTGGGGGTGTCCCAGGGTAGTTTGGGGTTGGGGGGGGGGGGGGGGGGGGGCCTAACCCCCCCCCCCCACAGCTCCTGGAGGTTTTGGGGTGGGGTCTGGGGGGGATTTTGGGGGGTTTGGGGGGGTTTTAGGGC